GAATTGAATTAGGAATGACAACTTACATGGTCAAGAGATAGAACTATTGCCCCCCCCCCTTTTTTAAATAATTATAGTAACTTTCAGACTGTTATCATTTCCCCTTATTGTTTCGCTTAGCATTAAGAAGCTTGCAGAATTTTTTTCTGATAGAATATATTAGATCCTAATCATCTCTATTAACCACCTCTCTCCCCCCACAAATGAGAAGGAAGAATGATTTGGGGTAAGCCAAATAAAAAAACTCATTCTACCAAACCTATTTGGATTGTTGTTAACTTTGGAACTAAAATAAAACAAAAAACTTGCTTCAATTTGGGTTACTTATGAATTTTAGTTTAAAGGTCTCTTGTCCTACAAGTCAGCTAGTATTTCAAGTTCACTTACTTCTTCCAAAGAAGGAAAAAAATCTTATTGAAACTTTCCAAAACTCCCATCTTTTTTCAAGGAAGGTCATCAGTAGTCTACTATTTGATCCTAGTAGTTTTCTTAATATCATCTTGTATATTTATCCGTAAGGGAAAAATGTGGTGGAACAAGACATTAAAACCAAAATACTATTATCATCAGTTTTTGGAAGGATAGGGCCTGACTTGCTGCCTCAGCAACTCTTTCAATTAATTCCATTAAAGAACATGGTAATAATTCTTTTAGATTTTAAAGAAAATCCAAAAGTAAAAACTTCAAAAAAGAAACTTGCCAAGTTTTCTTTTCCAACCATTTCTTTAAAACTTAGTATCTGGAGAGCCAAGAGAAAAATAATTTGTTAAAGTAGGTTTAAAATAGTTAACACAGAAATTTATTAACCTACAACTGACAGAATATACCAAATAAACAAACGAATAAATAAATAAAATGGGGTTATAAAAGTTATTGTAAAACAGTAAGAGTATTCCCGTTTTCAAAATATAAGATTAAAATTTTCCGAACTGCTATTAAATGAATTTTTATTTCCAGTTCTCCTTTTCTTTGACCTTTTTATTCTTAGAATAGTTTGGAAATCAGATGTAGAAGACAGTCAAATCTTTGTCCTTAAAAAAATTATCATAGTACTCAAGTGTCTGTCTTTAAAAAGACATGAACCTGGGATTTTCCCCCAATATATCTTGCTTTGCTTTAATACTTTTTCTAAAGATTTCTTCCTTAACATAGCAAGACTCAGGTCAGCCCAGGCTGCCAAGACTGCTAAGTTCTCCATCCAATGAAGCTTCTGATGCCTTGAGCGTCCCTTGTTAAATGCAAGGATGGGCCACATCTTTCAGATAAGGACGTCTTCTAAACTGTAAAGTGGTAATCCGGATCCAAAATTGACAGCTTCAGGGCAAAATGCCTATCTCAAAACAAACACCCTACGCACCTCAAAACAAGAATAGAAACCAACCAACCAAACAAAAACAGCCTCCTTCAGACTTCTAGCCAATATGCACACACATTTCTCAAATCACAATCGGCAATAATAAAGTTAAAAAGGTAAAAGTCTTTATTCACCCATCTAAACACACTGGAGGCAAAGGGTGTATGTAAAAAGGTTAACTGACTTCTCATTATGACATAACACGGGCATCTTAAGCAATAGCAAGTGTGTAGAGACATGATAACTCCCTGGGTGGGGACAGGGAGTTTAGGGGCAGGGACCAAGGCCTGGTCTGGGCTACTGATCTACCAGAAAACAGCCTGAAACAGGAAAGAGCACACATATGCCACTTGGAATGTATGACGCAAACCCCAGCCTTGAAACAAAGAACAGGAAACAGCTCTGCTGGCTGTGCTGGAGAGAAAGCACAGAGAAACATTTAGCCGGCCCTCCCTGACCCTATATTCATGAGCAGCTGGAGTTTTTAAAGACAACAACAGGGGGGTGGAGGTGTTTGTTCTATGGGTGTGAATAATAACACCAGCTTTATACAAGGGACCTGCCCTATTTACAAATAGGAGCTTCCACATACAGTAAACATCATACATGAACGTGGGATTTTATCATATTCAAGCAGCAGAGACCTTCCTAATTAACACCAGCCTCCCTACCAATTTCTTTTGTCTCTACATCCCCCATCCCAATGGCTGGTCTCTAGCCATGATCTGATTCTGGATTAGGGTAATAATTATTGTTCAGCCTCAGAGTATCAGTGGGAAAATGAAGATAAAACACTGCTGTTAAGAATTCAGATTACAATTGGGTTATCCCACACCACTGAAAATTGGACCATTTTTAAGCGTCCCTTAGCCACAGAACTAAATTCTAAGACACAAACTGAGGAACAGCTAGAGTCACCTCAAATTTTCACTGTCCTTTTCAACTGCATAATTACAAACATATTTGCACACAGCTGCACATCTGTACACACATCTTCAGAAATTCGCCTTTTAAGAATATGATTCTGTTCCAGACATTTCACTTAATCCAAAATTGTTACACAATCTGTAGAAGAGTATCGATTTTTGTAAGATAGGCTAAAATATTTCCGTTAGGTATTTTTAAGGTAGTAAAATCCATTCATATTCCTTTTTCCATTATTTCTTTGTCAGCACTGTTTAACTTAGGTTTCCATTATCAGAGATTTAAGAATCTGTGTGTAGACAACTCCAGGTTAAAAAATAAATAAAAAGAAATAAAAAGAAAAAGGCATCACTGTCCTTATAGCATCTAGAAGGTTTGGTTTTTAGAAATTTTGCAGTGAAAAAAACACACCCTTTCTCCAAAGCTATGTTGCTGTGTTTTATATCTGACAAGGTTCTGTGGTCTAAGCAGCAACTTTTCTTTTTTATTATCAAATTAGAATTTTTATACTTGCATTCTCCTTCATGCAAGCCAAATGTTCCTTACAGTGTATCTTCATTGAACTTACTAATAGTACATTAGGTTTCTTCCTTCTAATAGTTATGCAGCAAACTCCACTGAATGTAGAAATTGAGATGTTTCTCAAGGGAGTTTAAATTAATCAAACATCTCATTTTAGGTTTCTGTTAACAGCCTAAGGTCAACTAACATACTCCACATTTCAAGCCAGAAGAAACTTATTCCTCCACTCTTTCTTTAAAAAATAGTCACAAAATTTTGGAGATGGTTAATGCTATCAGACTGTTTTTTCCCTGAAGTCTTCCCTCCGGTTAGGCAGATTATCATCGAGATGTATTTCTCTTATAAATAAAATGCCCCTCAGATTCATACATAAAGTACTCAAAACAGAGCATCACAAAATTGCTGTGGAAAAACCTATAATGAACAACCGCCCTATGCCTCACTTGATTTTGCTTATAATTACAGGTACTAAAGCTAAATAAATAATTACAGACTCTTTTCCCCATGTACCAGACTCTTGTGAGAATGTAATCAATATATCTCTAAAGTGTCTTGGTGATCTTAGAGAAAAAATACATTCTGAGTTAGTAAAAAATTCAGTGCCAAATATTTATTTTAGTAAAATACAAATAGGTGAGCAATTTCCAATTTCCGTTTAACCTGCCTTATTAAAAATAAGTCCCATTCGCATGTTTTTCTCCTATGCTGCTGTAAAATGTAAAGCGAAAAAGATTCTCCCTGTTATCTGCCAAAGAAGTGGCTATGACAATTCCAGGTATTATCTGCCATCTCCAGGAAAGCCACTCGGGAACAATCCTTAGGTCGCCGGCTCTGGTCCCTAACTGCAGGCAGCTGCCTAAGGCGGTCGCCGCCTCCAGCCACGCTGCAATCTTTGCTCCAGGCACTGCGGCAGGTTCTCTCCGTGCCCCGGAGCAGGACGCTCCAAACGCGGCCAGCCCCCGGGGATCCAGATGCCCGGGCAGCTCCTGGGCTCCGGGAACGGGAACGGGATGCTGCCTCCAGTCCCAATTGCCCCAAGTTTCTTCTCAGAGGGACCGGGAGGCTGTTCCAAGTTTGCTCCGGCGGGCGAGCCGCCGCGCGCCCGGTGCGAGAAGGGGGGCGGCGGGTGCGCGGG